AGAGGTTAACAACTCTGGAAAGTAATCATGGCAGCGGTTTTTCCATTTTCCGTAATTACAATCTTGAGATAAAGAGTAGAAATATCTTTTATTGGCCAACAACCTTGTGTTTTTAAGCCAGAGCTCCCCCTGCTGCGACTGGCATTCAAATAAATTAAAGGGTTGCTTTTTTTACACAGGGCTACAGTGAGCCTCAATGCAGCTTACTGCGATGTGTTTACGTTCATTCTTTCACAGAGAGCTAGGGGTGTGGTGAGATGCTTTGACACATATGTTACTGAAAAGGAAAACATCCTCTTTCAACTTCCTTAATGTTGTCTTATAGTTTTGCTTTCCCTATCTTTAACCATACAAAGAGCTACATTTTTTCCCCCAAGGATGGCGAAGGCATAACAGAGTTGTCCAATTTTCAAGAGTGGATGGAATGAGGCATAAGGAATACTTAACTCAGTTAAACTTTACAAGGAAATCACAAAACTGTCCAGTATAAATATTCTGTCTGGCAAAAAGGATTGTATCTCCACTACTGGCAGCTGTTTGATTATTAGCTTACTGCCTGCATCCTATTAAAGTTTGCCCTTACCACTGTGAAACAAGCGAAACGATGGTATTGCCAAATGGAGCTTAGCTGGTAACAGTGCAAACCTCCACAGTGTGAGGCTAAATTTTGTTTGTTGTCCTGGTAATAACATGTGCACTGTCTGTATTTGAATGCAAATCATGTGGACTCTGATGTTTGTGTGGGACAGAGCTGTAAACCGATCACTTACTAAGGCTTTAGTCAGTCGACTGTAGACTGACTGAAATTAGATTTTGTTCCTTCAAAGCTGAAATGTTGGAACAGGTTTTTCCAGTTGTACTTTGTCAGTTCAACGCTGACATTATTAAAATTAAATAATTTAATAAAACTTCAGTATCCTTTGTATGTAAGTCATACAGATATCTTGGCAATAAGGTAAATGTTCAGAGAGAGAGAGAAAGGAGACACACAGGGAGTGAGAGAAGTGAGAGTAACACCTGGCATTACCCACATGTGTCTGCTGTTTGTGTGGCATCAGACTGTCTGCATGTGGTAACTTTACTCCAGCACTGGCACACAACAACAGCGGTGGTCTGCACGTGTGTGAGTGTGAGTGTGTGTGTGTGTGTGTGTGTGTGTCTTTTTGCAGCAAGCATACTGTTGTTGAGTGATTGCTGCTCCCAAATCTGAGGCTGGCAGTGACCCCCCAACAGGCACACACACATGAACAGTCCTATAAATGTATAGTACAAACACTTGGTGCAGTGAACATATATTTGTTCTCAGATATAACCGGGGTTCAACTGATACAAGTTTTTTATGGTTGATATTTTTGGATTATACCATGGTCAAATTAAACTCTGCTTTCTGATTGGCTGGCAAGTGTCCCTTAAAATTGTAAATTAAGAATCATAGTTATGGTCGACACTCTATTCTCTTTTCTAAATCAGTGCTCAGACAGTTTTAGGCTGCAAGTAACCACAGCAACAGTACTAATAAAGCGACTCATAGATAAAAGGCTCTCATTTGCTAAAAGAAGATAGTTACATATTGATGCACTTCTATTTTGCATACCTCACCATTCAGACATCACACAAACAGGGTTTTGTGGCACCGTTCAATATCAGTTTTTTACCAGAATGAAAAAAATACCCTGAAATTAACAGGCAGCAAAATCTTTATCTTGGACAGCTTCTTTTCCCCTCTTCAATACCTTTAATTTATTGAATTAAATGGCTCACGTTAACACATTCCTGGCTTGTTAGCGTGTTAGCTGTTCGCTGGCCAGATACAATAGTCCTGCAACGAGCCATGTAATAAGTATCACCAAGCTTCTACCTTTAAAACCTCAGCATAATCGACCTCTAATGTTTTACATACAATTTGATATGTGACATAAAAACACAGCAACAGTGACATAATTATACAAATATACACAGACTGCAGCCATCAACCGCCATCGCAAGACTACTGGATGGATTAGTCTATCACAGTCTTTCTCTTTCTTGTTGTTTTTTTTGTGTGTATGAGAGAGAGAGAGAGAGGGAG